TATTATATATATAGTATATCTTCGATTTGCATAAATACGCCCGAGTGATTATGCTTTAGTTTTTTCCTGCATTAAAATTTACTCCACCGTTCAATACAAATTATAATATTTTTTTTCCTAATCATTAGTACCCTTTCTGCCTCCTGCTCTTTATAGCAGCATAGTTTCGTGTTTGTACAGTGCCAACGTTTTAGATACCATAGGTTATCAATGTAACCTAGGGGAAACATTTTAATTGTATTTATTGCACGTTTCACCGAATCTCAATCGATATAGACGTCCTAGCGAATATGAGAGATGCTAAAAGTTGTTGGCAAAACTTACAATGGACGAGTCCTGCTCTTGTACAATTTATTATATATATAATATAAACGTAATATACAACGCGCTACCAAGGTTAAAAGTACCAAATTTATATTTATGATTATCCCCATAACCGCGGGACTACGTGCAGTCCCGCAGCTCCCCGCACTTTTCGAACGAACCGGCTCCGATGCGACATCTTCTTCCCTCACAAGGGCCCCGATTCTGGTAAATCCACGTTGTGTGTGAGCTGCTTACTGTCTGAAAAGGAACGCTGGAACAATTCAGAAGGGAAGGGAACCGAAAACAAATTCAGGTATCACCGCGAAGAGCGCACACGAGCAACAGATTGGTCGACAACGTTAAGCATTTCGCCCCATAATGCTGCCGCTGCTCTCGTGTGTGGTTCTTTTGAGACTTCTTTCCTTCTTTCCGTCGTTTTTCTGTCGCCACCGCAATCTCGGGTAGTTTTTTTTTTTTTTTTTTTTTTGTGTTCGCTTGATACTACGGCATTTACGTGGATTTTCTCGCAACAAGTCCTGCTACGGTTTGAGTGACAAGTGTGGCAACTAGTCAATGATGACACTGGTCCATTATCGAGATACCCCTCTCTCGACAGAGAGACTCTTGGAGTTTGTGTTTAAATGTTTTCGTGGCGGATATTGCGGGACGTATGGATACGATCGACAGGTGAGAAACAATTTATTTACGAGCTTTCTTGGTCATGTAGGATGCGAGTAAAGTGCTGCAGTGGATTTTTTTTTTTTTTTATTAGATCGTAATAGAATGGAATCTCGTTCTTCGTTGTTATCCGTGTGCTGTTGCGTCGATATTTGCGAATATGCGTGGTAATATTCTAGATTTTACTGGAAGGTGAATAACAAGTTTGTGTGATTATTGAAAGTGCGTTGTTCGTGCTTATGTGTTTATTTATACTAATGTTATTTTATTGCCTTTACCGTGTTTATACTAGAATCTAAACTGTATTAAGGTAATAGTATTATTGCATACAAAATGAGTTATATTTTGTTCTAAGGCAGCTCGAGCCCATTGGGAGAAGTAAATTAGTTGACTGTAGATAGTAAGTTTAGTACCCCTGCCACACGGGAAAGTTTATATATTTTCATTAAATGATATGGGAATTAATCAGTTCGCGGTCTTGAGTGATTATACGAGCGTCGCAAGCTGATTTGTCGACCCCATAATGTCATTCGATGGAAATTACATTAAGTTTTCCATGTGGCCGGGCTATAATGCAAGAATTCAGTGACTGCACGTGATAACATCGCTTACATGATCGTAAATGACACTTGTCTAGCCGTGTCCGCGTTGACTACGTCTACCTGATTTTCAACTGTGATCTGTCTTGCTGTGTCCAATCACTGCGTGCCTCGCCTTTTTGTCGAGGTATTTCTGTATAAAACATGCATTCCTAACAGCAATAATTGCGTGACTCAACGTTTTAGACTTGAAACAATCACATTTTTCTATAAAGGTCTTATAAGTTATACGCATACATCGTGCCATTTCGTACTGATTATTTAGCGGTGTAATGTTTTGCCCGCGTAATAAAATTTTTCTAGACCGGTTGCTATGTGCAGCTTTCATTTTAGCTAATAAGACAGGCGTACGTGACTTGAAGCGCATTGTCTTCGCTTCGTCGCGCGCCCCCGATGGCCCTCCTTTGCGACGTTACGAGAAGAGCGCTGCGGCCTTGGTTTCTATACTCCGCGACAACTTTTCTTGGCAATGCAGTGGAAGGTACGTCCCGCGTCCCCTCTCCCATTTTGAGTGTACGCAGGCTCTCCTCCTCTCCCCGGAAATAGGGGACGAGGAAAGCCTGCGTACACTAGAAATGGGAGAGGGGACGCGGGACGTACCTTCCACTGCATTGCCAAGAAAAGTTGTCGCGGAGGTGATGGCCAAAGGCATGCGCCGAGAAAGGGGGGGGGGGGGGGGGGGGGGGGGGGCAGAGGAGGAGGCGAGAGGCGGACGTCAGAACGTCGAGCTCTGGTTGGACAGATTAGTGGGTAGACCTAAAGCTTTGCCTCCACTGCACTCGTCAATGCGTTAGAACGCGGAACGCCGGCGTCCGGCGTTTGACTCTCGCATCCGAACGCGTTCGACGAGTGCGGTGGAGACAAAGCTTTCGGTCTACCCACTAATCTGTCCAACCAGAGCTCGACGTTCTGACGTCCGCCTCTCGCCTCCTCCTCCTCTCTCTCTCTCTGTTTCTCTGTGCATACCTTGGCGTGTATGCTGCACGTGGCTGGGGCTTGTCGGTGTTGGTTGTTTCTGTTTGTCGCTCTAGTGTGGCTCAGGCATAACCAGAATGTTTTATATAAACACTGCAACTACTTCTCCGGCAACTTCAATTAACCTATAAACGCTGGCACGGTATAGAGCACATTTTTCAAGTCGCTCAAAACACCTCCAGCGATAAAACAGACGCCGATCGTATGTACCACCCAGAAAACGTTTCGTGCTTCATTGTCATACTGTTTTTTTTTAACATTGTAGTAGTGCGGCACCACAGACCTAAGGCATGGGCCAATGGCCTTTCTGTAGTGCTGCAACCCTCCAGGATTTAATAAAGTTTAATATTAATATTAATTATAATTATAATTATTAATTATTTATTTATTAATTTTAGTATTATCATCATTATGATTATGATCACCCAGAAAACCACTGAAAAGAGTACCCAACAACGTAAGATTGATGTTCCTTTGTATGAGCACTCGATGAGGTCCATTTTACTATCAGTTACCCTGGCACCATATTAGTTAATATGGTCCTGGCATCTAAAAGAAAGGAGGGACAAGCGTATCCTACGGATCACGATCACCCCCTACGGTTCCTATAGACATCGAATACATGGCACCACTGACCCTTCCACGAGTTAAAGAACCTCGACTTTAATTGTGGACTCTCGAAGGGAAAACAGAGTTACAAAACATACACTCGTTCACACAAGACCATATATAGGTCACGTTATTCCCAGATGCCTGGACTTTCCATGACTTTCAAGCCGGCGCTGAAAACGTTTTCGGTGAAGAATGGAATGCGGGTATCACCGCCAGGGGAGGCTTCTGTGGAACATATTGCTGACTCTGAACCTGGTCTACGTAGAAAGGACACGAAGCTCATTTCACTCGAAGCCACTGTGAAATAGACCTTTCCGGAAATATGTAGCGCCCCGAACCTTCTGCTTGACGCGTTGTGACGTTCTGACGTACAGCACGTGAAATTTTCCAGGAATCAAAGAATTAATTGGCGTTAGTTCAACATTTGTAATTCAGAACGCAGAGACGATAAAAGGAAAGCAAGACAGAGTGCGTGATAACCTCGTTCTGTTTTTGTTGTATTTCTCCTGCGTTCTAAACTCCCAAATCATGAAAGAATGAAACGTGCCGCTTCCAGAATACATGAAGCGTTCCAGTCGGCACGAACGTACATTGGAACAGCACCGGATGTTGTCTCGCCGCGCAGTGCAATGCAGGGCAGCCGTGAGGTCTCCTGGGGTTTTCCAGGTAGCTACATTGACAGTAAAATGGTCAAAATTTCAAAGTCAAGTTTGGGGGTTTTTACGGGCATCTGGCACGCCCCAGCGGAGGACTGAGGATTAACTTCGACCACCTGGGTATCTTTTGACGTGCAACCGAAAGCTCGGTTACACGGCGCCTTCTCCGGAATAAGCCTCAGAGTGCGGGTACCTCGGCCGGGATTCGAACCCGCCAGCGCACTCGCCTCGGAGCCACCTAGTAAAATGGTGATGATTCAATCCGCAAGCTGACTTATAAAACACATTAGCCATGCACGCAAATACCAGGCATAGACGACGATGACAATTTAGATGTGGCATCAGTCGGACAAGCACGTACACATAAACAACTTGACCAAAAAAAAAAAAATTTTTTTTTTGTTGCAAGGACAATCTACGCAATGCTGAACGCTCATTGTCCGCCCAAAATGTAGCGCTTGGCGCCCGAACCGGAAGCCAAAGCTACAGCACTAACAGTTGTCTTATTCAAAAGTTATAAGTGATTTTCTGAAAGTTTCAATGAGAAAATGGGGCCCATTTTCGCCCGTTTTCCGTTTTCGGTAACTGGCGCCATAGACCTTCATGTATTCGAGCTCTCCGTCGGCCCCCATTTTACCATTGAAATTTTCAGCAAATAACTTATAACTTTTGAATAAAATAGCGGTTAGGGCTGACACTTTGGCACCTGATGAGGACCGCTAGCGCTACATTTGGCCGGGGAAAGGACGTTCAAATAATGCGTAGAATTTTTTTTTTTGTTGTTGTTGTTGTTTTTTTTCACGGTAAAAAAATTAACTTATTTTTTATTTTTTTATTTTTTTTTTTTGGGGGGGGGGTTTATTTTGTGTCTGCCTAGGATGAAATATCATAATCGTATTGCTCGACGTTGTGCCTTGGAGCCAAGACTGTCGCTGTTGCTGCTGTAACAACCTCAACAAATGCCCATAAGAAGTGTCAAAACAAAAAGTGTATGAGTATCAGCCACCGAACATAGCTTCTACCACAAGGTAACGACTGGTACCCGAGCTATCCATTAGTGTAGGGCGTTCGGGAGACGTGAATGCACCTCGTCTCTATCCAATCTAGGAACGCAGAGAGCGATAAGATGGCTCGAATCGACAACATTGTGAACTCAAGACCGGTAAACAAAAAATGTGAAAAACTCGGGTCTTCATTTTTTTTTCCTCCAGTGTTGAACATTCAACAGATCGCCTGTGTCTACAGTGTCATGGTCTAGGTTGACGAATCGCTCGCAGATATCACAACATTGCGAAAATGAGAATGTGAATGCTCGACCAAGCATTGCAGAAGTCTGTTTTGAAACACTTCATCTCCGTGTCTCCACTTTTCTTCTCTTGGCGTCACGAGTTGGCGATGAGTCGACGACCACCCGATCACACGGCTTGAGGCTTCTCGCAGTCGGCTTTTTTATCTCTCCGTGTTTGCATTTTGGTTAAGATGGGATCCACGAACCAAATGAGAGAGGAAAAGATGCACGCGCCGGCCATGGTGTAAAACAAGCCGTTGTAGCTGTTCCAGTTGTCCTTGAAGTATCCTGTAATGGTTGGCAAACATTAGACCTTCAACCCCCTAAACAGACTACATTTTCACTACTTGCCACTCCCACCTTGGCAAATTGAAGTTTTAATTTAAGTATTGCATCTCTAGGTCTGCATCAAACTCAGCAACCTAGGCCAGCAACAAGAGCAACGTCCAAAGGAAGACCGTCTCATTAAATACCAACCTTTGCAAAAAAAAAAAAAAAAAAAAGAAGAGTGGGGCTTGTTATTTTTGGAATAACAGGAAAGCAACAAAAGGGACAGTGACAGGATAGATCACTTCTCGAGGTAACGTATTTTCAGTCATGCTGGACTGGAAATACGATTTTACATTCTAGGAGCACGTTAACAACCATTCACCGAGGGGGGAGGGAGGGGGACACATGTCATGTTCCATTTGACAAGTTATACGCACCGCTACCAAGGCGCATGCGCTAAAGCGTAACCACACAATATGCGGCGTTTTCACGCGTACTTATGCAGAGGAATCACTTTCTACCTCACGCTCGTGCCCCGTCCCTTCCACAGCGCTGCACATATAACTCTTGAATATCAATCATTCCTGAATACTTCAGAAAAAGAATGTTACAATCGATTTCGCTATAAACTTTTTACAACACACCAAAAGTTACCTGACAGCTGGTATATTTTTTCCTTCGTAATGAAAATTATTTTTGTTATTCTACAAAGCATGTTTATTATTTACATTACATATATAATGAATATGTAAAAAGCAGGCTAAGCAATTACACTGGAACGCAATATTGTTGTCGAATTTTTATAGGTCTCTTTTTGAACTTGACTACTGGTCAAGTGAGACATTCCTTGATATATTCTGCTTCTAAAGAGGCCGTGGGCCTACATTTTGCAAAACAAGTTGGTCTTAAAAGCAAAAGCGTTCAATTTGCTGTAGAGTTATTCCTCTGTTTTTCTTTTACTTCTTCATAAAGATTAGTAAGACCATACTCTACTAAGGTAGCGAATCGGGCGAGTTAATAAACGTTATGCATGATGAAAACAGCTCAAGAGACGAAGACAGAGTAAAAAACCAAACATGATAGGACGAAGCTTCGACTTGTCGTATTTGTTTCTTCATTTCATCTTCGTCGTTTGAGCTGTTTTTCTCATGTACTCATACGCCTGGTTGAGGAGCGGAAGAGGGGGGGGGGGGGGGGGGGGTCGCTGACCGAGTATGTTAGTGCATCGCCGCTCGGAGCATGTGGAGCGAAAGCTCACGCTCCAGAACCCAAGAATCCTGGGTTCAATCAAAAAGGTATGCACGATGTTCATAGAGATCGAAAGGGATTTTTGCCCTTTCATATCTGTATGAGCATCGTACCATCGTGCGGTCGTATATGACTACTTCGTGATGCACGTTAAAGACCTCAAGCCAGCAGTAGTACTGCACTGACTAAATTGCTCGTCTACGCCGTATCTCACTAGTTGCGAGCAGTGTTTATAAAGGTACAGGGTTGAGAGCATAGCCCAAACAGTTGAAGATGAGGGGAAGGAGAGGAGCTTCCTTCGTAGCAGCACCTTCTTTTGTGTGTCCCTACGTCGCATCCTGTTCGCTTCTGTACCCCTTGAAGATTAGGCACTTTTAGTACATCGTTTTCAAAGGCCCGCTACTGCTACAGGCGCGCGCTTCAGAGCATGCATCGAAATAGCAGCGCGAGCTCCCGCTACAAATAACGTGGCCTGAAAACACGATCTACTAAAACTTTCTATTCACCCGTCACTTAAATTTTCTGCCAAGCCGACTTTCTTCCCTCTCCCGCCCGGGGCTTCCACAGTCCTGCGCATAGCTAGTGAGATAGGGTATATAGAGTGCGTGTATTATCTGTCGCCAGAGTCTGTCAGACCGAGGTCACGTTCTGTAAACATTTCACGTCTAATTTGTTTTGATGTTTCCTGGTTTGGTTAAATCCAGGGAAGAGGGAGTTAGGAATATGTAAGCGCGCAAATTTCCAAAAAGATGTTTTGAATGTTCTTAGAAAGAAGAAACACAATTTTTGTTTGTTCCTGCTCAACATTTCCGAAATATTTACGCATGTCACATTTAAGCTATAGAGACGCACTTAAGCTACGTGAAGGCAGTCACGCTGGGGGAGATGAACAAGGTGCACATGTGTTGAATGTGGGTCAACGCTGGAAACCTTTTTAAACACTACCTCACTTCTAAATGAAAACGTGATTACTGCTACGGAAAATAATTGGCACTAGACGATCTTATATATCGTTCGCGAAAGCTTTCGACACACGCTTCTTTTTTTTCCATAGCAGAGCGATAACTGCTGCCTTGCTAAACTGCTCAGCTATATCCCAAACCGAATTACGCTACGAAACACAGTGTACACATCAAGAACGACCTTAAAAGTTCATAAAAAGAGGAACAATGGGACATAATTAATAAAGTCGGTGAAGACCTCACCTATGATGAAGGGTCTCATAAGTGAGGCTAGCCCGATGAAGAGGTTGGATAAACCGAAGGCCATTACCGCCAGCTGGGGTCCCAGAAACTCGGTGAGTAGGACGGGAGACATGAAAATGAGTCCTCCGGTCATGAGGCCAAATAATAAGGTCATCACAACGAAAGACCAATAGCTGTGCATAAACGGCATGACCATCATGATTAGTCCCGTGATGAAGCCGCCGGATATGAAGATCCCCTTGTTGCTCAAGAGGTTATTGTAAGCCAAGAGGCCAGGAATGGGCTTGCTAAGAAGGTCCGAGATTCCGTACACGGACAACAAAAACACACCATCACTGGGCGTCAGGCCCTGGTCTGTGGCGTAGTCCGGAATGATGATTATGAATGTAGTAAACACGAAGAAAAACCCTACCGCCGAAATAGTCACGAAAATAAAGTATTGGTTACGCAGCAACTGAAGGTCCCGCTGCACAACACGTATGACGGTGGAACACCACGAAACGGCTCCGTTGTCGTTCTCTGGCACTTCTTTTTCCTGGGCAGCAGCTACGGAGCCTTCGTGCACTGCAGTCTCTGCTGAGCTCCGTCTAGAATGCAGAAAACCGCTGGATCCCCTCAGTTTGTCGCAGCTGCTCACGGACGTGCACTTCTTTTTGAGAACGGGTCCTGTCTGCTCATCTCTGCTGAACCGGCGATCACCATCGGACAGCACCATGCACATGTTCGACACAGATATTGCACAAGTAGATATGTTGTCGGTCTCTTCTGTAGCAGACGCGAGAGATGCGTGAGAAGAAATCCGTCTACCGGTGAACTGCGTGGGGAGATTTGAGCTACCATTGTGCATGGGCTGGAAGTCGACGCTCTGGCACTTTTGAAGAGGCTCCAAGACGTCTGTGTCACCTTTTTGGGAAAATTTTGGTGCGTCTGCTTCTGCCTGGGGAACTTTGGCGAAGGGTCGCAGAAGGATGGCTCCCAGGACCCCGTGTAAGATTATGGCGCCGTAGATAAGCAGAGAGCCCCGAAGTCCGTATTGATGGATGAGGTACTCCAGAAGGGCCGGCCAGAAGAAGGAACCAATAGTGGAACCGGAATAGGCCACTCCGCATGCGATGGCACGGTGCTTCTCGAAGCACTGGGTCAGCAGGAGAGGCGTCAGATTGCAGATAAGCCCGGTCCCGATGCCTGTAAGAGAAAGACATAGGGACATGTGGCACGTGTTGGTTGGCTTTCAATGCTCAGTTAGCTGCGCAATCCAATTTCCCATTGACAGACACGGGTATAGCATTTGACGAGCTAAGATTTTGCGACTTCTCAGAATGTTAGCCCGTCAAGCGCTTAACATTTTGCCGAGTCGCGGTTGCTCCCGCTGAAAACTGCCCATAACGAAGGCCACTGAACTTAGTCCCCTGAAGGGCGCTTGAAAACGTACGGATATGGCCGGAAGCGGCTGAAACGTCATATCCGTCAGTTAAATATGCCGATGTTTAAGCGCGATGTGCAGTGGGTCCGTGTAAACAACCTTTAAAGAGAAAAAAAAAAAAAAAAAACACGCGGGGGACGAAGAGGTTTATGGGAGTCGCGTTCCAGGTAGCGTAGCCGAAACAAATATGACATCTGATCACCGCAGGCCATTATTATTTTGCCCCGCCTGCCGCCACTACGCACCCGAGGGTTTGTGTACTGCGGCGTAAACTGACTTCCTGCTGTATAAACGTTCGTGTACAAATTGGAGTCTGACCTTTTCTTCCTCTAACCGATGTTCACTGACGTGATCCTGGCTTCTCCCAACCCAGTGTTGCACGGTAAAGACCCCAGGCTAGTGGTCACAAAGAGGGGGTAAAATTTTCACTGATCCCTACCCATTTTCAGTACCCCCTGCTTTTTGGATGGAGGTCGTTGCGTTGGCGGATATAAAATGTTGCAACGTGATTTTCCTCAAGTGAAAAAAAAAAGAACCTTTGCAACGCTGGAGGCTGTCGAGCACCGGCTTTGGATAATATTTGGATGTGTGGCCCCTCGTAAGAAAAGACCTTCAAGTTGTAGAAGTCTCCTGGTTAATTTTCCTCCGTAATTGGGGCCAACTCATTATTGCGAGAGATTGAGATGCATAAACACTAAGAGTTCTAAAAGGGCAGGACGATACTTACCATAGACTATGCCTAGGAGGATAACAACCGTGACGATCTCGTCGGCAAAAAAACAGCAGCTGATGGCGACGGAAGTGATCAGCGCTCCAATCGTGACAATCAATCGAATCGAGAGCAGTCTGCTCAAAGCACTTGCGAAGGGTCCTGCAAAACAAATTAAAAAAAAAAAAAAAAGGTTCTGTCGTTAGTAATCAAATCAAATCAAATCAAATCAAAGTTTATTATCCGCTTTATAAGAGTGTGTGCATATGTTTTAATCGTTTCTTTTGTTTATGCAAGTCGCATTATATTATTGCAGTTAAAAAGAGGTCTCCTTCTTGGCACGAGTAAAGGACAGAGCCAGGTAGTGTACTGAGTTAATATTGATTAATAAAAATGAAGCCCGAAAATACGGAAGGCGTAATGTCAGTCACTAATGAAATTCGCAATAATTTGCCTTATGACATCAAGTTTCACTTACGCAATAATTTAAGGATGTGAATACTGATCACAGTTGATATTACATTTTAACCGCCCCCCCCCCCCCCCCCTCTCCCCTCGGGAGCCCAATGTGCTCAAAATCATTATTTATTATTTCATAAGCAAACCACATTCGGTGCGTAACACAATTATAAAATAATTTCATAAGCAAACCACATTCGGTGCTATCTCAAGGTGTGAGGAATAGATAACAGCGTACATTGGTACTAATCTCACCCCTTCCGCATTCTATTTGAACGGGACGTTGCACAGGCCTACTCCCGCCTTACCACGATCGAGTGCTGCGACACGAGGTGATAAAGATCCCGGCGTTGTAGTTGCAATAGTCCGACTTTAGGGAGTTTTCGTAGAGCGCGTTGCCCCCTCCGCTAAGCCCTCCGCAACGATGAAGCCGCTACTGCGCCTGCGCGCCGATGGCCTTGATGGCAGAGTTCCGAGTATCGTAGCGGGTTGCGGACAGCGTTGTGGGACGGCCAAAACGATCTACGAAAACTCTCTAATGTTTGCTTGGTTATACCGTAATCGTAAGGATCTAAAGATGCCTTTGAAAAGAACAAACAGTTCGCGATTGCGCGACGGGACGGGGAATGCCTCGACGCATTCGACATGCTGCCCTTGGGAGGAAGGGAGGGGGCACATGGTAACACACGTTGCGCAGCGATTGTTGCTGCCGCAATACGTGTACACATCTCACGCATCGATAACCTTGAGATTCTCGAGAGCCGCAAGGCCGTGACATGTTGTTCGAGGGATCACTGATCTCGAAACTGTAATTGGAGGTGTCTCGCCACGGTTTCGACAAATATGTGCGTGTGTGTTTCTTCCAATCGTTTTTTTTATTTATTTTCTTACACAAACTTGCAAAGAGAATCCTTACATTTTTTTTTCTTTTTGCTTCATGGGACAATTGCAATAACCTAGTAGACCCTTATGAAAAGGGTGCGCCATCAAGTAGCCGCTGCGCTAATTATCCGAGTCTGCAGTGTTTTGGCAAGTACTATCTGAGCATGTATTTCTTGGACACGGCGGCTGTTCGGCGTGAACTCGGCTCAGCTCGCATCGAAAACGAGTGCTGCGTCAGCTTTCGGCAACAACTCGGACCCAATCGCACGTTTCGTGCCCAAAGAAATGGCGACCGTCGAGGTTGCTTCATGGGACTCTTGAAAAGGGTCTTCGGCGTAATCAATCGGCGCTTCAATAAACTCCACTAACGCTCGGCGTAAATAAACAGACAACTGTGAACAAAAGCGCACGAAAGAGTAGCGAGGTACGAGTATAAGGAATGCTCGAGTCTTCCTGATCATAGAACCCTCAAAAGTCGACGTTAAAATATTCACACTAGACTACATTCGTAACACCTCTGGCGGGCGCAGTAATTAGCAAAAACTAAAAAAAGATTACCATTAAATGTTTAATATAAATTTCCAGGTTTCTTTTTTTTTTTTTTTTTGTCTTACCAACTTGTCAAAATTGTTAATTTTTTTAAAAGTATACTTGGTAAATATTTGTCGGGTGTGTTGCGATTACTCATTACTTGCTCCGAAATAACAAAAAAACAGTAACAAAAAAAAAAAGCAATACCAACTCGCCCAAGAATCCGCATTACTCAAGAAAATAGGTACGCGTTCCTGTTCGTACACATGCAAAAAAAAAAAATAAAAGTAGATACTATGTTACGGGGGGAAAAGTTACAGATTTTAAGTAACGGCGCTCCCTGTAACGCGCTCACCTATCTGTTCCTTTCTTTTTTTTCTTTTTTTTTTTTTTTGCCAGCAATTTCGGTTTTATAGATTGTAAAGTTGAGTATGATAAAAACTCAACAAAACAATACTTGTATTTCCGCCAAACTTTTCTGTTTGCATCCGTTCGCATCTACTTTGGCTGGTTCGATCTCACTTGTTGCGTAAGCACGAATGGGTGACCTTGGTCCAGTTGTAACAGTGCACAAACAAAAGTCATAATGATGTTGACGCTTGCATTCGTTACCAATGTTTATATCGTCCTTGCATTATAAAAATATATATTGACTATTAGAACCATCGAACTCTGTTTTAACAAATAAAAAAACAAAGCCTATATGGGACATTTGAATAAACTAGTATTAACCATCTTGGCTTTGATCGATCTTCATATCCTCCTTAGTAAAATACTTTCCCTCGAGTCAGACTCCCAATTTAGTGTAACCCAGAAAATTTAGATGCACAAAAATGTCGAACCTCGCAGCATAAATGCCATCGTCTCACGCAAACTATTGAGGCTTACGGTTTATTCGTTAATAACTGCAACTCAAATATTCGAGTGAACTGTCTCTTTTTCGTGACGAGACCCTGCTCAACTCGCAGGAATCTAGTGGAGTATGAAAAATGCATTGCACAAAGCGGTCGTCCACCTCGTGTGATGCGCACACCGACGTTCTCGCGGCTCCGCAGGAACAATTAGGGCTGCTCCTGCATGTGGCGGCGAGAACAGATGTGCGCAACAGACGATCGAAAGAAGAAGACAAACTTGACAAAAATCTCCGAGTGCCGTAAACAGCGAGACGGACGGCGTATCGGTTCGGCCTTGTGTCGTTCCTGGAAGCTGCTACACTCCGTTTCACTTGTCGATGGAGCGCAGAGAAGGCGCTACGAGCCCTCCCAGCCAATCCAGTGCCGTGTGGGTATCACGTGACCTTCGGGAGGGGCGCAGCGACGTGCCGGGTGCGTAGTCACGTGACAATGTTCGCAGTGCTGGAATGGCCCGGATGATTCGTATATAGCGTCACGCTGCAGTCAACCGGGGGGTGAAACGGAGCAGAGCAGCAAGGCGACTGAAATGGAGGGACGACGTTTGAAAGCAACAAGAAGGAGTTCGTCTGATACCCTAGTTACACGGGCGCTTTCAACTGCCATTGAGTCAACGACAGTTGACTCAATCGCGATCGGCCGGAGTTACACGGCGGCGCCAACTGTCATCGAGCCGCTAATGACAGTTGAGTTCAACTGAGCTCCCCTACCTCAGTTCAACTGAACGGACTTCCCCAACTGAGGTAAAATGGCGCCTGTCCGCGGGACCGCTGCCGCCGACCATCGTTTCCGAGGCACTTACTGTTTCGGAATGCAGGGGGAGGCGTCTAAAAAGAATCGTAGCAGCAAAATATCCGGGAAGGAATAGCTTTAGGCGTCCGAGCTGCCGCTAAAACAATTCCGGCTAGCCGGCAAGCCACCAAACGAGCGAAGATGGCGGCGGGACCAGCTGTGTGAATGGACAGATAGCAGTGGGTGCACCCATCGTAGCGGGTGGTAGCTAGCTCCACCTAGCCTGAAATATGCGCAACTTAGCCCTGAATCTGCTTTGGTACTGATGTAAACGCCGCTAAAAAGCAACAAGGTAATGAACATAATGTACGATATACTTATTGTAAATAAAATATGTTTCTCCGAGTAGATTACTTTAACAATTAGACCGATCACGTGGCACAAGAACTTGCTTCGTTTTAGCTTCAACTGGGTTCTAGAGAGCCGTGTAACACCATCTCAGTTCAGTTCGGTTCAATCACAGTTGAAGCCGATAACTGTGATTGAACTCAACGACAGTTCAAAGCGCCCGTGTAACTAGGGTATGACACAGAGCACTCAAGTGTAACTTTGGTAGAGCGCTCCACTGAACATGAAGAGGTCCCGGGTTCGATACCCGGACCAGGCGGATTTTTTCGGTCGCGCACCAGTCACCTAGAGCTGTGTTTGGAGGTTTGCGTTTGTCCTTTGTCCCTCTTTTTCCCGTTTTCCAGGGAATATTTTCGTCAAGTGTAAGTTATTTGACATTTCTCGCATACGAACTGCAAATGGTGAAGAACGCTGTGTTTTGTGAAGCGACTGGAATAAACAGAAACAAAAAGAAATGAAGACATGGCGTGAAACAAGACGCTCCTCTTGACAATTTACGAAAACGAAGTGTCTAGCGTTATGTCCGACGTAACCCAAGTTACGTCCAAATCTCCGCCTTCCTTAGGTTCACGGGGGAGAGAGAGGAGGACGGGCGAAGGTTAGGTATACGCGTTTCAGTGCTCCGTCCGGACATAACGCTAGCCACAGCGTAACAAAGATCCAGGTAAAAAAAGTAGAAAAAAAAAAAAAAAAAAAAAAAAAAAGTGCTCTGTTTTTATCTGTTCCGCCTCCGCGGACTCGTGATTATTTCGTTACATTTTTTTTTTTTTTCCCTCGATGAAAATTTGCGTTCATTGCAGAGAAGAAGAGCCTATGCAATGAAAGCGACGTCCGCGAAAATTTCGAAAGCCTCTCAGTTTGCCTCCAAGGTCTTAGCGCAACTTAGATAGAATGAATGCGAATAATTCTTCCATTACGGAGTCAAGGCCGCCAGTCAGTGAGATGGAGAATAGGCGTCCATCTAGAACAATAAAACTTTTTTTTCCCCTTCGTATATTTCCTATCCGAAATTTTCTGTCTCTGTGCATTTTTCCTCCGGAAACTTTCGGCGGGGATGGCTTCTGACTACCAGTGCGTTCTTTCTTGTACTCTCGACGGAAACTCGTTTCGGTGACGCGCGTGTATTGTGACGCAATCCAGCCGAGTGCCCCTGCGGTTCGGCGCCATTTACTAGATGAAGGACCTTGCGACAGTGAGCCGGAAAACTTGTCAATAGACGGGGTTGGTTAATCGAGTGGCGAGGCCGCCTGCGGAACTCAGTCTAGTACCTAGATTAATTGACTTAGTGGGATGCAGCAGTCTTGGCATGGTGGCAAGCCAAGGCCACGCCCGTGGTCAAGCGGGACATAAAATAAGTTTTACCGTTGTGTCGTTTCGTCTAGTGTTGGTTGTGCGCATTACTGTGGTCCCTTCACGGTTTGCTGGCAGTTTTAAAAATGAACCCGGTACTTTTAAAACGAATGTCTCTAAAGCAGGGTCGGGCATCTCTTCGATCCTGTCGCGTAAAAGCCGTATGCACCCTAAAAGGTCACCTAGAATTTATATATTAAAGAGTGGGGCTAAAAGCGATTTTTTCTGATATTCAAGAAACCGGCACGCACGGCATAGTATACTTCCGCACAAGTTTATTCTCAGCTAGATGCGCGCTAAGGCGATTCCCATTCCGGCTTTTGGCGACGCACGAGCGACCAAAAGCGTTGCTTTGGTCGGTCTTCTATGATTGGACAAACGCTATGGCGTCACTATATGTCAGCGGCACCCGGGGGGCGGCACCCGGGGGGCGGCCCGCGGCGGCCCGCCGCGACACCCCCCTTCCCACCCGCGCTCTCGTGGCCTGCTTAAAGGCCCTTTCGTGAAAAGTTTCGTTGCACTAATTACACTCAGGTCATTAACTTATATGTCCGTGTTAGCCTTTTCCTTTCAAGACTGAATAGCGCTCCAGAACACCCTGTGTACACCGTTGCACAAAGGGCTCTCGACAGCTGCCATCTTCTTACGCACTAAGAAATCTAGAGCAACTACTCTCCCGCAGAGCGCGTCACCAAAAAAAAAAAAAAAAAAAAAAAAAAGAAAAAAAAAGTTCAGCTTTTCTATTTTCGTGAAGAAGAAAGACCAGCGGAGCTGTACTCGATACACTGTGTGCTTCTTCGTCGTCGTCTGTTTTTCGCGCTGTTTCCTACGATGAATTCCCACCAACGCGCCCAACTATCCATTCTTCTACTATAGCTGGAAAGGTGGCCGCCATCTACGAGCGACGGCGGAAACCATACTGGTTGTGTGCTTGCCACCGACGCTTATAGATGGCGGTAGCTGTCCAGGTAGGTTTATGTCGACATACACGGACACGATCCTGGGGAACCTAGCCCCTTAACAGCTCCGCTATAAAAAGGCCCGGGAGTCTACTTTCCCGCACAACACTCGGAGAGCCAGCACCGCAACTTACGGAGGCAGCTCAGCGAATGAAGATGCCGAAACATATGTTTACACCAAAAAACGCAGTCTGAGTTGTGACATTAAGCAATGCAAGCGTGACGTTTTGCATTGCTTAATGTCACAACTCAAACTGCGTTTTTTTTTTTTTTTTGTCGAAACATATGTTTTGACGTCGTCATTCGCTGAGCTACTTCCGTAAGTTGCGGTGATTCGCTCCCGGAGTGTTGTGCGAGAAAGTAGACTGGCGAGCTTTTTTTTTTTTAGAGTGTCGGGAGAGTCAATCGCTAGCCCGTCCTCGGGCCCTACCTACACGGCGGGACCAAGTGGGACGAGGGGGGGATAGGGATATCTGATATTTCCGTCTGCTGCGATTGGCCAGCTCCGCACCGCTGACCAATCGCAGCAGGCGGCGATGTCCCGGTCGCAATGGGTCCCGCTTGGTCCCGCCGTGTAGAGCACGGCCCTTGGGCTCGCCATGCCCTGCGTTTTTGAAGCTCCCTGACGTCACGCCGCGGCGGTGGCGCTGCTGTCGGCACTGCGCGTGCGCAGAAGCTTCGCCTCAGGCGAATCTGGTTTCTGCGCGCGCGTATCGTGTCCGCACCCGGTGTGGGCAGACGCGGACTCGTTTATAAAGGAAAAATCGTAAGGGTGCAGGCGAGCTGGTGAATATTAACCATGTTGAATTAACCATTGAGACATCGTCCTGTCATTGAGACGTCGTCCTGTCTATTTTCTGTCCCTTCTACGTTTTGATGTTTCTTCTCTACCCCAGTCTCAGGTTAATTCAACATCGTTTATAAACAGGGTGTTGGTCAGTAGACACTCACCGGTCATGCAGAGGGTAGCCCCTGCGAGACTGAAGGGCCAGGAAGCCTTCTCGTAGCTGCACTCGAATGTTCGCACCATGGCAACGTAGAGGACGCCTCCGGCGCGGAAGAAGCCCAGAACGAACAGGTTGATCCAGAAGACTGCGGCCACGATAAGGAGGCCGTGCATCTGGCGGTGGCGCAGTGCGGGCTTCTTGGAGAGTCCCATCGCGCTGCTCGGGCGCCGTTCAGCGAGGAGGGAGTACTCTCGAACCCGGACCTGCCGAATTCCGAGTCCCTACCTGGTGAAAGCGGGAGGAAAAAAAAACGTCGGTGTCGGTTGACGTCCGTACACAGTCAACTTTTAGGACTTGGATTAGCGAACGACCGAGTAAACAACACTTCAGGGTTGTTTTTTTTTTTTTCCTGTTTTTTTTTTTTTTTTTAAGGAAGTTAAAAAAATACTTTAAAAAAAACGAGTTTGAATATCACGTTCGTGTTCCCCGAAGATACTCCTAAACGCGAGAAAACTCGAAAAACCTCCGACCAATCGTTACGTCATGAAACAATCTTTCGGCCGCCAAGCGCGTGTCGCTCGTATGGGCAGGGCGTGGAATTGCAAGCTTGCCAGGTATACTCCCCCGCGCTGACAGCAGTCGTGACGTATTTTTCTGACCTTTTTTGAAATTAGCAGGAGTGCGCGTGCATAGCTTTGATAGGCGCTGAGGATGCGCGAGAGCGGAGATTCCGGAAACTCAGGATGTGACGCCACGCTCTTACCGCTCATTCACACTGAAAGCGGATCCGCGTTCGCAAAGCGGTTGCGAACGCGGTTGTATAAAGATCCAGTACAATTGCACGCGCACTCGATGACATCCAGTGCCGGTGCAATTGCACTGGATCTTTATACAACCGCGTTCGCAACCGCTTTGCGAACGCGGATCCGCTTCCAGTGTGAATGAACGGTCAGAAGGAGGGGATTCAGCGTTACTTTTAAAATTATTTTCTGCAGCCTCCGTGCACCGAATTGAAAAATAATCTCGACATTCGTGATTCTGCATACCGAATAAAGACGACTTAAGTGTTTTTCCTCAAACACAGAACCGCTTCAGTATCCCTTTAACTGCAGGCTTGTCCGTTCAATTTAGTCCGCTCGTAAGGACTTCCGATCGCGAGCACTTAGCACGTGGGATTCGGTTTGACGTACGCTTCTGCATACTAAGAAGCAGCGCTGCCCCTGCTTTCTCGCTCGCTTTCCTTTCATCTCACAGGGTTTCCCCCTCTGATAAGCGAGTGCGTTTCCGGAGGTTACGTGGATTACAGCGTAAAGTGAAATAACTCCGGCAGTGGAGTAGGGTTGAATGTGCGCACACCAAGCTTCCTTTTGCGCTGTATTTAGTGCCGTGTAAGTTTGAAATCTTCATCCCTTCTCTGTTTGATAGCGCCAAAGTATGCCCCATTAGCACGGCGAACTGCACGTTGTGCTATACCGTCTTACTTAGATTTGCAAAAGTTTATGTCCAAGGTGTGACACACTTGCGATTGGTCAGGGAGTGTATTACGACACTTGTAAAAAGTGTGGCACATTCCCCTTTGGTCAGGGTGCTCTTACATGAAATCCAGGATTATTATGTCCATTATTCCCGTTACAAAACTACACTGTGCGAGCGCCACGTTCCGTGGCGTTCGCACAGCATTCGGTAACGAGGCTGCTCTTCTGCACCCTGTGCGTATACACTGTGCAACACTGTTAGTGTGAACACGACATCCGCGCTTGTCTGCACTTTTTTCAAACAGAGTATTGACGGGTACCGATTTTCATAAAGGCGATCGGAAACGCGTTTGTACTGACTTCGTGGAACGACTCGCAACAGAACCTGACTCTCCTGGAAAAAATCATCAAATGTGACGAGACGTGCATTTTCTAGTACATGTTGGAAACAAAGGTACATTCTATGCACTAGAAACCTCCCACACCACTAAGAATTAAATGATAAGGCAAGAACTGTGGACAAGGTAAAGGAGAAAATGGCAGCGCTGCTGAACGGGTTGACACATGACGGCCTGCATCAGTTTCCAACAATGAAAAATTTGTATGCAGCGGTGTAAAAATAGAGGAGGAGAGTAGGTTGAAGGGAATAACAGTTAGGTTATAATCTTGTAACAAAAATTCACACTTTTGCCACCATTCTTGTTATTTAATGATGACAGTGCCATTTTCAGGGCTTGTGCACGCGTGTGCTTTGCACGTTTTTCGAAGCAACGCGTGCCTGCTGAGCTGTGGAGATTGCAAGATGCGCTCTTGATTACTAAACATAGGACCCAATCTCTCCACTACCTTCATTTATTTTCTCTCTCTTTAAACATAGGAATGGTGTATGCTCGATGAGAAACTTTGTTGCATTTCCGAAGAAAGGAGAAGTGCACGAGCACAGATTTAATCCGCTCTCAAGGTGCGTGAGCTCACGCGCTTCGGTACCTTTGATCGCATTGCCACATAAAGGCCGATTCACACAGCCCATATTCCTTACGTTACGTTACGTAAGCTTACGTACAAGCCACCGGGATATCTGTGCTTCATATCAAGCGTAGCTGCCAATTCGAGGAGGTATATCTGGCACGCGACATTCGAGACACGAATGTTTCGGTGACTTAGACGCAACGTAAGAAAACGGTGCTGTGTAGTGTGATAAGTTGAAGCGAGCTCAACTCCTTACCCTCCTTACGTTACGTTACGACCAGCCTTGTGTCCTTGGTTGCCACGGTGACTCACCGCCCTAGCTCGTCGTCGCCGAAACATTCGTGTTTCGAATGTCGCATGCCAGGCTATCTCCTTGAATTGGTAGCCAAGCTTAATACGAAGCACAGATTTCCCGGTGACCTAGACATAAGCTTTGGTAACGTAACGTAACGTAAGAAAACGTATATGTGTGAACCAGCATTTAAGCACGGCCTCTGGCCGCTGCTAGGGTGTCTCAATGTCCTGCTGTTTAGGGTGATGTCATGCTTTGTAGGATGACTTCAGCCTAAACTGGGCCTAAACATGTCTGGGACTTCACTTATTTTCTTCGACGTCATTGCAAACACGCACATGTGAAGGCGACTAGGCGATGGATTTCAACTTTCACCGACCACCGCCAGGTGCCACACGACCGATCAGTAGCAAGACAACGTGTAAGCGCTTCAACGAATATCGCTAAAGAATTTTATACCTTTACAGTTAGGGCTGTGAAATGAATCTGTGCATCCATGAATCTATGCATATTTTGTTTAAGCAATGCTTTTGGGTACTTTATTCGAAAGTTATCTTTTATTACTTAAGTTATTTTCTATCAAACATGACCACACCGGTGGCGCACGGAAATGCGAGTGACCACCTAGCTCTTCATGATCTTCGACTTTTTGTGTCCGGAGATCTCCTTTTATTTTTTTATGCAAAGTTTTTTTTTTAATACTATAAATTGGATGATGACGTAGAAATATCAAGGGAATTCAAAATGTCGACCATTTACCCACTGTTGCATCTTATCTGAAATCGTAGGCTCCCACTGCGTGGTGTAAACATCACCCCAATCTACATTGGCGTTGCAAACACCGAAGTCATCACCTGCGCGGCAACACTACTCTAGTCCAATGATGCTACCTAATTTTCCACCTATTCGTCAATTTCTTCTTTTTTTTTTTTTGACACGCCCGCCTTTGATTGGGGAATACGATTCCGTAACGTCGCCTGTTCCTATACACTGTATTACCGGACCACAAAGTACGCTACAAGTTATACAAGTTAATCCAATGCCGTGTAAGTGTCACATGACTTTCGAGGGGGGCCGCAGTGATGCGTTGTCACTTGATACGTGGAACTGGGGCTTGTAACGTCCGCTACAGTTCAAAGTACTTGGAAAAGGCGTAGGGTGATGACTAGAGAAATGAATCGAACCATTTTTTTTTCAGCAGACTACTCGCAATAAAGTAGGTACTACCCAGGGAAGGTAGCGCAGTGCAGCGAAATCAACTGCATGACACCCTAAAAGCTCTGTTATACTCCAACGTTGAGTGCAGCGAACGCAGCGTAGCGCAGAACGTGGGCCTTTGATTGACCGGCGAGCAGGAACTCGATATCTGCGACCAATCGGTATATCCATGTGCGCCGCACTGCGCCGCGTTTGCTACGCTGCCCGTTTAGATTTGATAGGACATATCAGCCATATCACTAAGGAAAAACATCTCACAGGTTTCTTTTGTATAATGCTCCATGGTGTCCGGGCGCTAATGCTACCAAGTATGGCCACTGTGGACGCGGTGCTCGAGTACCACCAGTCGTTGAGACAGAAACCCTCCAGCGGTAATTGACAGCAAGATAGACCTGGCTAAACGATTTTTTTTTTCTCTACTTTTAAACAATATAACGCAACTTGCCTTTTGTGGAGTTTGAATTGCCGGCTTCCAAGGGTTCATCGAGGGAAGTTTGGTGAAAATTAAGGATGTTTAGGTGTTTTTTTTTTTTAATTACCACATAAACATTTTACAACTTTGACTTTTTCGATAGCTTGAAAGCTCCCGGGAGCAATGAAAAAAAAAACTTATAATAGTTAAACATTAACAAAGAATTATTTGCACAAAAAGTTTCAGCTTAGAAAAAAAAACCGGCACTGGCATGATTCCTGTGCCATGAAACACCCTTCTTGCTGTAGTTATCGTCCTTTATAGCCAATCCAGTGAAGGCGATGAGCATGACCTTAAAATCACCCAAGAAATAAAAAAAAAAAAAATCTTTCTGAGGTCGTGTGTCCTGCTCGCCTGCCCACAGGAAAATCTTATCCAGTAGTCGCCGTCAAAACTATTTTTGACAAAGACGGCATCAGCATTCTTGCGCGTTATGTTATACGCAACAAAATAACTTCTGTTTAGCCGCACCAGAAGATGAAATTGTTTTTCGAAAATCCTATTCTTAGGTGCTCGCGTGCAGGTTGTTGTTTATCCTACAATAAACATAATTAAATTGAATAAAATTGGAAAGAAATGGAACGTGTAGGACGAAATGGTAGTCTACCTAAAACGAGGTGAACTTGACCGTCTTACATTTTAAGAAATATGGGGGTGTATATCCCTACACCCCTTGTCCCATACGTAACACCCCAAAACAACAGTTCGACGCTCAGTCTACAGACGTCGAACCGAGGATACCAACTTTCGAGAGCGGCTTGATAGTCGACCGATAAAACTTTTTAAAATAGCTAAAGTACGCACTAAGGGCTACAGTAATACAATCAAGGTATCTTTAACCCTGCTGCAAAGCCTCAGT